GCGAAGAAAATCACAGTTGTTTACTTCATATCATTTTTTCATGTTATATTCTGCCTCGTTTCTGACTCTCGCACACAGCCATGCACACATACACGCTCCCCTTTCTCTCCACTCAACGTTCGCGCATGCTCAACATGGTACACTCTACTCAAGCAAACATTTCATTCTCTCTTTCTCTCTCTCTCTCTCTCTCTCTCTCTCTCTGTCTTTCACTCGATCTCTCTACTCCACTCGACGAGAAAACAGATAATATACAATTCGACACGACACATACACGCGTAAGCTGAATTTTCGGTTCGCTCCCGCGCGTATATACGATATTTCCCTACCGTACATAATACCTAATATATATATGTACATATAAACTCGCGCTTTTTGTTAAAGGTTTGTACGTATGCAGTGTAAACGTGTGTTCTTATTGTGTCAACGATACCAAAAAACATGCGTCGAGCTTGAGACCGCCCAACAGCCGACGACCAGTGAAGACGATGGATGACGGACGATGGATGACGGACGATGGACGACGGATGATCCAGAAAAGAATACTCGGGGCCGCTCCTCTGCGAAAACGCCAATGGACATCGGCGTCGTTGATACCAACAGCGTTCCCGATCGCCGGGAACCAGACCGATCCCCCCGAGGTGTCCCGAGAGAACCGATCGGCCAACGAACGGGCTCCTGTTGCGTTCGATCACATGGCAAAATAGAACAGGCTTGCTTTCTTCCTTCCCGAATTGTCGAATGTGTTTTGTTTCGGGTGTCAGTGTGTGGCTCGGTGGTAAGTTGCATTCACAGTGCGAGGTTGGGGAGAAAAGAAAATGATCTTGGACGATCACAGTTGACCGGACAGAAGAGACTGGATATGTTGTTCGTTCGTCCATCTTGAAACCGGAATCGAGTTTGCTCTTTCATTTTTTCCCTCGTTCGTTTCCCGTTCAAAGATACACGTATCCTCGTCCTCGGTTTCCTTCGTGATCGCCGCATAGAAGGGAGAGCATATTACCAAGAACATCAGAACACGAGAGGCTTCAGAGTTAATCGATCGAGAATGATACGCAAAGAGACTTCGTGGAAGAAAAGAGATTTTTTTCGCGACGGTAAAAACACGTTGTTGGATTCTTCTCGAGGGAGAGAGGCGCCCTTTTTTCTTTCGCATCCACCTCTCTCTCTCTCTCTCTCTCTCTTTCTCTCTGGGACAGAGAGTAGAGGGGTCAGACTGGTTCGTTGTTCCCCCGGTCCCGCACGGCTTCGCCTCTCAGGATTATCAACGGAAGCGCGCGCGAGAGGAGGCTGAGATCAATTATAGTCGGGCTGAGAGAGAGTTTCTCGTGGAGCTCGCCCATCTTCTTTATTATAGCTTTTTTTTCGTGATACTTCTCCTCGCTTTTCAGCGGTGGCGGTCTCGCTGGGCGGCCGCTGCTCCTTCCCCTGGTGACTGGAACAAAAGAAAGAGCCCGGTTGTCTTCTCGCGAGACGCGCCGGGACGCTCGACGTCTGCTGGTCTTTAACGGGTAATACAACGATGTCGTTGTCACGCGAACGCGCTGCGCTATCCTTGTGTCGTGTGTTCAAACGATGACGATGATGATACATCTGCCGTGCGGCAAGCGTGACCCGAGAAATTTCGGGGAGTCACCCGCGCACGGCTGGACTAGAGTCAGTCGTGGTTGGCAAATGCTGGGTGGGACCAATCGGGTCACCACTCATGGACGAATAATTCTTCACAGAAGTTGCCAGAAAAGAAACCGGATTTTCATTCGTTCCTTTCAATATATACGCTCGTGTTTTTCGCTGTTCGTCGCTTGCTGGAAACTGCTGGTGTTCGATATAGTCGAGAAGACTGCGCGCGCGCGCGTTCGCGTTACACGACTCCAAATACAAATTCTTCTTTTCACTTGCCAGAGGGGAGCACGGATCACGTATATGTATATATCTATATAATATGTGTATACATATATGCGTATATATATATATACATATACATATACCAACCATGTATACATATATATACATATATCACGAAAAAAAAACGCGAGAAATGCTTCGATCAGTCCGAGAGCGTGATGCACGTCCAATGGAAAAAAATGAAGCGGGATGACGCCTAGCGTCGTCGCGCTGACGAATACGTGCGCCGTGAGACGCTTCAACTGGAGACGAACGCGGCGATCTGCTCGCTGAACTGCGAGTGCTCTAGCAACAACGAGTCCTTGCAGCTCTCGAACTGTTGTTGCTGTTGTTGTTGCTGCTGGTGGTGGTGCTGATGGTTATGCTGATGCTGGTACTGGTGTTGTTCCTCCGGGTCGGGCTCGGTGCGTTCATATAGGACACAGATGGACCCATTTTCTCCGATTCTGTACGACACTTCCGACGGATCGATCCACATGGTGAGCTCGCTTGGGAACAGGCTGTGCAACACCGTCGGCAGGAGACCGACGTTCGCTCCTGCCTGCGCGATCACCGGGTCCATTTTACCGTTGATGCGTATGCAACGGTAACCGGAGCCACGATTCGGACGATCCGGGAACCAATGGTCCCTGTAACGATGACGTAGAACCTCCGTCAACGATGACTTGAACATCTCGAGCTGACGCTCGGACAGCTGTCCCGCCTGGAGACGCAGCAGGTGCACCAGAAAATCCGCCGCCGACACGATTTCCAGTCTCATGGTTGCCAAGCGAAGCCACCCAGGACGAGAATTGATCCGCGAGCAGCGTCCTGCTCCGTTACGTGCGAGCCTCTGTGTATATGTCACAGCGGTGGTAGTCCTTTCCTCCTTCCTCCTCCTCCGTACCCTTTTCCAGTTTCAGGGATGATTCCGACGGAGGAGACGACGACGCGCGGCGATCGAAGCGAGAACGAGCAAGCCGTTTCTTCACCGATCCGACGATGGGTCACGGCGCGACGAGAGGGGCCGTTGTTGCTCGCGGCGATACGTACACAGCAATCTTCACAAAATGGCGTCGCGGCGGCCACGTCGCACGGTCGCACTCCGGGTTCGTTCGTCGACGCTCCAGCGCGGAAAAACGTGATTGCCGGGTCGGGTCGGGACTACCGACAGATTTCTCACCACGAATATATCAAATCGGCAAACACAATCTCGCGCGAGCGGTTTCTTTATTCGACGCGATCGCCGCGGACCGTTTCAACGGATGATCTATCCTTTTTCGAATTTTTTCGTCGTGTTCGTGGCCGGTAATGCCGCGATCGCGAGCGATATTTTTCCGTCTTTAACTCAATCGTACTTGTTGAGAAACGCGCGGTCCAAATCGTTTCTCCGATCCCTAGGATGCCCGTGAGAATCGACAAGACTGCGGAGATGGATTTTCTCGAATAATAAACTCGTTCCAACGATCACAACAACCGACGTGTTTCAAAACTTTTTCCCTCTCTCGCTTCGAATTTACTTCTTCGTTTCTTCTCTCTTCTTCTTCTTTTTTTCCTCTTCCCACGCTGTTTTCACTCTGTGTTTAAAAACACCTTTTACCAAACTGCCAGAGAAAAACTTTCTCGCGACTACCCAAAACCGACGCACCCTTCTCTTAACCGCGGAACAACCGCACCCACGGACTACCAACGACTTTCTAGTGGTATCAACCGTCGACACGAACCAAGTAGCTTTGTCTCTTTGTTCGCGCAGCCCGTGGCGGGGATAATACGCGTCCAACGATTGGGCCGGCGGCCGCCCCACCGGTGCGGACCGTCACGTGCTCACAATCTGCGCGTGTCTCGCTGCGCGTACGTCCGCAGCTGCGTCCCGAATACGGATCGTCTGCGCGATGAGAGTTCTCAACCGGTTTATGCCCGACGTCATTATATACGAGAGTGGGCGATTTTGGAACCATACAGGAGTTGTTTCCCCGAAAATCGAGTTACGAAGAAGATTACGTGTATGGACTTATTCATACGAGACCGACGGACCCGAGGAAAAATACTTTCCGACGGTAAAATTAGATTTTTATCATACGTACGATGCTTTGTTTCCCATTTTTGGTACTTTATATTCCTTCTCGGAAACATGCAACGTATTTCTCGAATGTTGTATTATGCCGGGAGAGACGTTCGAACGATTTGATGCCAGTTTCTTGCGTTATATCGTAATTTTAGAATGGGGCAGGTCACTGAATTCGAGTTTCCATTAAGTGAGGTTATCTAATTGGTAGATTACGAAGTTGTCTTTACATGTGTTATTTCAATCGAGAGATAGGAAATATTATTGCGCCTAAATTCGACTTACTTTTCCAGAGAATTCTGTAATAATTCCAATTTATAACTAGAACGCGATCTTGTTTGTTATTTATTAAACCCAATTTGCTACTTAACACTTTACCGACCGGCTTGCTAGAACGAAAACACGTTGCTAATACCGGCGACGCGTTATTTCGATTCGTTGTAAAAGGGAATAATTTCAAAATATTCGATATGTATGATGTGCTTATAATACGATCAATATGTGTACAATAACGTAATTAATACGATGTTAATTCGCTCGATAAGCAGTAGTTTCAAAAAATTCCGGTCGATAAGCGTTGCCATTGAAAATCTGTTTTTCGGATCCCGGTAGGTAAGCGGTGACGTCGAAAATTCGATTGTTCGGATCCCGGTGGGTAAACTATTAAAATTAATAATAATATTATTATTTATCTTCATATTCATCGAAATAATTACTAATATTAATACAATAATTGGAAACATGACAAAGGGAATTATAATAATTTTATTCACAACCAGTTGTGTACTTTCGTCAAATGCCTTTCCAAGGTCTGAAGTACATAATAACATAATTCCAGGAGAATTTTCTCGTTCTGTTATGAACATTAACGCTCGCTTTAAGTTCCCCGGAACCGCGAACAATTAAAATTTTCATCCCGTTTGTTCCCGTCGGTGAGACTCGAATTCCTAGGAAACTAAGTTTAATGTGTTCTGTTAAAACGAGTTTTACTGGTTAGCGTTACATACCTTACGTTTAATGGAATTGTTCTCTTAATACTTAAGCTAAAAGAAAAGGTGCCCAGTAAAGGGAACAATCGCGGAGGGAACTTTTGTAACGAGCCGACAGTCGCATGTCAGCGTTTGGTCTTCGACCTGCGGACTGCTGATGTAAAATACAATGAATTCATGATAGCTCCGAGCGACAGGTTTCCGTAATTCTACTGTTGTCTTGGAGCTTTTCGAGTTTTTCATTAGGAACCGAATAAAAGAAACAGCAGATTCAATAATATACTGGAAACCTCGATATTCGAATACTTCAATATCCAACCGTTCAATTATGTGGATATGTCATCCGGACCGTTTAATAGTCTTCGGAGACACTAGACCTTTTATTGTATTCCCGTATATAATAGACGATAGGTTCCCCTTTTTCATTTCGTACAATATATGATACATAACTGACCGAAAAGGATTTTTATTTCAGTGTTAATCCTTTCTTCTATGATTTTTATCATAATTGCGCTTGCTATATCCATTTTACTGTTAATACTTAGCTAGAAACATAGAGAAATTCTATGTTTAATTTCAAATCAATATCAATATCAATATCAATATAATCTGATCAATAATATAATATAATCTGATAAATCGAGTGTGACACGATATTATAACACAAGGGGTTAATGCTAGTAAAATATGAAATGATTTTATCCACAGTGATCAATACTGTCAAACTATGAAATATTTTTATTTGGAAATATTATTTCTAAAATATAAGGTACTTTTATAGTGAAATGTTAATGTACTTACATTATAACAATAGTAGAGGAAAGTAGAAAATAAAGTTGTTTATTTCCAAACTCCGAAGAAAATAAAACTGAACGCGACCTCAGCGTAAAATATAAAGGCAAATATAAGCAATCCTTTATTCTGAAATAAGAAAGAAATATTTGAAAGGTACATTATTTTATTATTTTATTATGCAACAAAGATTTTACTGAACTTGGTTACAATATTCCATAAGAAAAAAAAATGCTATTCATACACATAAGACTGAAAGTTTCGTTGAAATTTAATAAAAAAAACATGGAAGAAAAAGGGAAACCTACAACCGAGTTATTCTTAGCAAAATACATAGGAGAAGTAAGTCGTCGATCAATCATCGCTTCCCCTTATACTCCGCTCCAAAATGTTGGTCGTTCTTATTAAAACAGGCGCGACACCAATAAAGGATCGGTTTTATTGTTGTACAATTTTCGGTTCGATCTAATTTCGTCTCGACGAAGGAATCGTTAGTTTTGTTCATCTGCTTATCTCACGTATTAATTTCGATTTGAAACACATTTATAGTGTCGTACCTTTAAAGTTCCAAATCGTTCATGTTTATAACACAGTTTTTTTATTTCCAAATGTGGAATAAATTAACCGAGTTTAAATGAAAAAATTCTAGGATACCGTGTACAATTGAATAATGTAAGTTACAATGATAGTCACAACAGTTTTTTAGCGTTAACTACATTTAAATACGAACAAATACAGTTTATTTATGTTTCCGAATAATACGTGATCACAGACTTTTTGCGACACAATCATTTATACGTGTCTATTTGACATAATTTGTATGTGCCACAAATTCACAGGGACGAGCGACTTTCACTGAAAACGGAAAAAGTAAACAGTGATCGTGCCATTCTTTTTTTTTCACAGAATAGATAAACATCGCTACACTCGTTCACATTGTGCATCGCAGGATACGGTTTTCTATCCTATCTCATCCGTTCTCCTTTTTTTTTCATTTAGTGCGGTTCGATTTTCTCTTTTCGTTATTTTTTTTGATAATACGAATTTCATGGAGTCAGCGCAGACACGCAAAGCGAACCATACAAATCTGAAACGAATTTTTATTGTTGAAGCTACCTCGATTTTTACTCACTTTCTAGCCTTTTGTTTTTTGTCACTCTTCCGTTCTTGTTTGTTTAATAGTTACAAAAACGTGCGTAATATTTCACGAAAATTTAACGAAATACAAATCGTTTGTGTTCAACGAAATATTTAAAGAACGGTTCAACGATTTTCCTTTCGACCGTAAAATTTCAATTTGTATACACCAACAATACAATTCAATGAAAAATCATTTATAAATAAAGAAAGGTATAGCCAACACTTTGTTTAAATAAAATAAATAGAAGGGACTTTCTTTTTCTCTTGCAATTACGGCTACAGAATGGAAACCTCAAAAAGTTCAAGCATCCATATATTTACCACCAATCTAATAAATATAATGCTGCTTTAACCAAGATTTAATTAAGAGTCCTGTGCTTTCCACTAAGGAAAGAAGTGAATCGATAAAATAAGAAACAACGTTTTATCAAAACGTAAACATTAATGTCACGTTCAACTTGTTAAATTTACATAGATATATAATCACATATATTATTCGATGACAAGAACGAACTAATAAATAAACAATAACTAATATCCATATTACACTACAATATTTCTGATCACTTATAATTATACTACATCACACGCATCATTACATCCACATCATACAATAATTTCAGAATTCAAACCACATAACCCAACCACTAAAAATTAACAAACCAAGAAACCCCCTAAAAACAGACAAAAAATCCAACCCCTATACACACAGTGGCAATATATATCTCTCGCTACGTACTTCATTTATAATTCTGATTGGTTACGTGTAACCATACCGATGAATATGAAATCAATATAAAAAATAAGACAAGAAAAGATGAAAGCTGTTCAATCAGACCAATTAGCATTCCTTCCAAGGCTCATTTCCCGAACAACGCACAGTATATCGAAATATCGAATATTCGGAACGCAATCATTTACATAAAAATCCACAGTCCACCAGAGAGCATCAGGCGAACCGTCGTCACGAGTGATTTCTTTCGCAGCATGAAAATTAGCGAAGTTCATTTGTCCCGTGTTTCCCTTCATTGAGCCGCGTACAGCGGTTAAGCTTCGCGTATCGATTTTCTCACAATTTCCCTCGTTTATTTCATTCTGCCGCTGTTGGATTATTTTCCCCTTCGACCCTCTCCTGCCCGCCGCACCCCTCTCGGGCAGCCCTTCCGACGAACCTTGATAAAAGGATACGTACCGTCGTCTACTACATACCTGATGGCCGAGGGTGATCTGCGATCCATGATCCCCCAATGAGCATTACTGACCCACCCCTCCACGTCTGTCCCCTCCAGCCCCTGGGCCCCTTACTCGTTCGAGCTGCCCTGCCTCATTGCTACCCCCCGTCCGGCACCCCAAATCGCGCGGACCTAATAATATAAAACTAATGCAGGCAGCTAGAAAACGCTCGAAACCGTGCCCCAAGTTGGGCGAGTCAGCTTGCGTTGCGCATGAAAGCCGGACCAGGGTTGATTTTCTGAATCGCGGCGCGCTGCTGCCCTGCTGTCGAAAAGGTTGCCCGCCTGCTGCTGTGCAACCCTTTCGACCCTCGCCGTGTCCCCCTCGGTTTTCACTGATTCTATTGATGCGCTTCTACGATTTAGGGCAGCGGCTCTCAGCCGGAGGTGGATTGCCGAGGAAAGATTGGGTTGGACAAAATGTCACATTTTGACAATAAAACTAGCGAGTAGTTACTTTGACTTTTTGAAATTTTTTTATTGAAACTCTAAGAGTGCATCTATCGAGACTTTAATTGATTTACAAT